TTAAAAAAAAAATAAAATAAATAAAAAAAAAAAAAGTTCCAAGAAAGAAGTGACTGATTATGTCTAATTGTTGCAGAGAGATCAAGATGACAACTGAGAATTAAACACTGGATTTAGCAATGCGGAAGTCATTGATGACCCTAAAATTAGCAGTCCACAGAGAAGCTGGAGCAAAAACCAAATAGAAAGGATTCAAGAGTGAAAGGTAGGAAAAAACCTGGAGACGATGAGTATAAGGTAAATAGGAGAGAAACAAGGCAATAACTGAAGAGAGCAGGGCCAAAAGAGGGGTTCTTTTATGATGGCTGAGATAACAGCACGTCATCAGTGTGTTGATGGGCATGCCCTTGTAGAGAAGGAAAACTTGATGACACAAAAGAAAGGAAGTAAGGACAAAGTAATGTCCTTAAGTACACAAGAGTAAATGGAATCTAAAACACAAATAGATGGGTCAGTCCTAGTCAAAAGAACAGAGTTCAACCACCATGAGAAAGAAGGATTTTTTTTTTTTTTAAACAGGTTCCACGCTCAGCATGGAGCCCAAAGCGGGGCTCAAACTCATGACTCTGAGATTATGACCTGAGCCGAGATCAAGAGTTGGACGCTTAAATGACTGAGCCACCCAGGCGCCCCGAGAAGGCAGTCTTAATAGACCTCTTGAAGAATTCTTTGGTGTACATCATTCTACTAGTCTGACCTATGAAGGAATACTGTTAATTATCCCTATCTTAGAGATGAGAAAACCAAGGAAGAGGGGTTATGTAACACTGGTAGTACACATAGGTAATAAGAGGCAGAGCTAGAACTTGACTCAACTTTAAGTTGATTCCACAATCTTTGCTCTTAACTATTATATTATACTCCCTTTCCACCTGAGGGAAAAAATTCTAAATAGTGTTCCAGTAATAATAGCAGGAAAACTGGACACTTAATACCACAAAATTTACTAGTAAAATCTCCACTGGGGCTTAGTAGTCTCGAGCTTTAGAGTCAGACAGGGTTGGCTTTGAATCTTGGCTTCAATTCTAAACTACCCTATACAACCTTGGGAAAATTACTTTGTGAGCCTCCATTTCCACAACTATAAAAAAATACAAAAGTCTAAGAATGCAGCACCTTGCCCCCAATCACAGCAAGTGTTCAATAACTAGTAACATTATTATATGATCTTCCTATTTCCCTCTTCTAATCTTTCATAAATCCCTTCTATTTCCAATTCTGTAAATGTATTCCTTTCCTTTGATGTTTTTCTTTCTGCATCTTGCCCTCTTGTTCGTATCATCTTATCTGCTGCCTGCCAAATTACTGACCATCTCAAAGATCTCAGAGGTCTAGTAGAAATAAATTTCAACTAGACTCAGCTACGTTTCCTTCAAATCAGACAGGCCTGACTTTGAAAGTCCCTCAGGTTAAAAATAGCCTAGTTTCTGTATCATCAGACATGTATACTAATTTTAATCCTGGAGGAGAGCCTAGAGGCTAAGAGAGCCTTATGACTGAAACCACAACAACTTAAGTATACCATGCAGTTAAAAAAGGGAAATATCTTTAGTTAGGTGACAATTTTATGTTTAAATATGATGTTAGATAGCATACATGATAAAATATGCAAAATCTAAGAAAGCTCTACTCTCACCTGCAAAGTGAAGTGCTAAGTCTCGATACAATTCTCTACTCATGTTTTGAAATTCAGCCTCCTGCCACACTTTCCCATCAGGTGTTCGAATCTTGGTCTCTGAAGGATTGAAGCCTAATTTATACCAACAATACAAAACATTCTTATCAAAATTGCTTTACAAATTGTTACACTTTTTTAAGTGAAATATAATTAACATACTATAAAATTCACTCTTTTAAAGTATACAGTTCAATGGTTTTTAGTATATTCACAAAGCTATGGACTTATCCTCATTATCTAATTTCCTGTACCCATTAGTAGCCACTCCTCCATCACTCTCTCTATTCCCTGGCAACCACTAATCTACCTTCCATCTTCATGGATTCGCCTATTCTGGACATGTCATACAAATAGAATCAGACAATATGTGGCTTTTTATGTCTGCCTTCTTTCTTTCACTTAACAATGTTTTCAATGACTGTGTAACATGTATCAAAGATCTCTTTTTATTACTGAATGACAGTGCATTGTATGAATATACCAACGCTGTTTATCCACTTATCAGCTGATGGACCTTTGAACTGTTTCTACTTTTTGGCTAGTATTAACAACACTGCTATGAACATTCATGTACAAGTTTTCCAGTGGACATATGTTTTCAATTCTCTTGCATATTATACCTTGGAGTGGAATTGCTGGGTCATATGGTAACTTCATGTTTAACTTTTTGAGGACTGTCAAACCATTTTCTAAAGGAGCTGCACCATTTGACATTCTCACCAGCAATGTACGAGGGTTCCAATTTCTCCACATCCTTGTTATTGTCTCTTGTTTTTATGAGGATCCTAGTGGTTGTGAATGGTATCTCACTGTGGTTTTGATTTGTGTTTCCCTAATAACAAATGGTGTTGAGCAACTTTATAAGCTTTTTAAAGAAGGATGCATAATTAGCTATCACATAATGTACTGGTAAATACTCTTTGGAACAAGTAAGCTTCACTGAGATGAAGCAATATACATTTGTTCAAAAAGACTAGAAATGGAGAAGCACTAAATTAAATGGTAAGTGAATATCATTCATAAATTATGGATTTCAGACACAGAACTACTCTTTTCAGGACTAAGAAAGATACAACACTAATTCTTTCTCTGGAGAGAGGCATTAATTGCTACTGTCTGATTTTTGCCTATGGCTGAACAAACAGACAAGCTGCTATCTACACAAGCAAAATGCACCCAAAGTGTGGAAAACAGGTCTTGAAAACATATTTGTTCAATTTCTCAACAATCAACAAACATTATTTCCTAGGGATTAATATTCTGATTTCCTATTTTGAACTGATCTCTACTCTTTAAGAAATACCCTAAACTTGGAATGTTATTTTACAAAATAATAAAATAATGAGTATGGATGATAACCAGGGTAGTATAAAGATTTATATTTTCAGATGGGTTCAACTTACCAAAGAATTGGCAGCCAATAAATATTTGTAAAATTAAATCAATGTAAAGAATAGACTAGAGGGGCGCCTGGGTGGCTCAGTTGGTTGGGTGACTGCCTTCGGCTCAGGTCATGATCCTGGAGTCCCGGGATCGAGTCCCACATCGGGCTCCCTGCTCGGCGGGGAGTCTGCTTCTCCCTCTGACCCTCCTCCCTCTCATGTTCTCTCTCATTCTCTCTCTCACAAATAAATAAAATCTCAAAAAAAAAAAAAAAATTTAAAAAAATTTAAAAAAAGAATAGACTAGAGTCAGAAATTGGTAAAAGCACTCTAGAAGTGTTAAATAAAATGTACTAAATTGATTATATGTCTAATAGAAATTAACCTATTCAGCTCTGGGGCACAATAGCATAAGCTTAATTTCACCTGATATTTGTGGCAAGGGGCATGCAATCATGCCTATACGAGGAGAAATTTTATAAATGCAGCATCTAGTTTGTTGCAAACTATGGTCTGTAATAAGAAAGTATGGCAATCCCATGCCAATCTCTCTCTCTCTCTCAACTTTTCATCACCATCACCCCCAACTCATGTCTCTACATTCAACTCTCATTTTTTTTCCCCTCTCCTCTCAAGGAAACATTTCTCTCTACCAGAGCCTTTCTTTATATTTCCATCTTCACTTATAAATTAACTTGAAGAAGCTTTCAATATCTACAACAGTTTCTTTTTCTGTCCCCCAATTTTAGAGTAGCCCCCCTTTACACTTCCCGCAGTTTCCGTTACCTCCTGTCAACCAGGCTGCAGGATCAGGTGATCCTCGCGTTGTCAGAAGGCCAAGAGTAGTAGCCTAATGCTACAGGAGTGCCCGCGTCCCCCCTCCATCTCCTCACACAGGCCCGCATCACCTCACAGCATCACAACAAGGTGAGGACAGCACATAACCTTTATTACAGGGCATTGTCATAATTGTTTATTTTATTATTAGTCATTGTTGTTAATATATTACTGTATCTAATTTATAAACTGAACTTTATCATAGGCATGTATGTATAGGAAAAAAGGAGTATTTATAGGGTTCAGTACTGTCCAGTTTCAGGCATCCACTGGGGGTCTTGGAATGTATCCCCCAAGGATAGAGGGGACTATTATATTTCCACTCTTTGTCCCCTTTTTTTCTTACTAGCTGAATTTATTAAATAGAATAAAAAATTTATGGTGCATTTATGTTCAAGACACTGTACTAGGCTCTGAAATAAAATAAGGATGACCAATATAAGGTCGTAAACTTCATGGGCATTTACACCAGGGAGAAAAATGTATGCAAACAACTAAGTATAAAACAAAAATCACATAAACACTGTTTGTGTTCACACTTCAAATTTTAAAGCAGAATCACAGAACACTTCCTATGTCTTTAAAGAAAGAAAAAACATACATGAAAAACCAAGGTTTAGAATAGGCTTATATACTAACAAAGTTATAAAAAAAAGAAAGAAAATAAACACACACAGTTTGTGTATGCAAAAATTATCTCCGGAAGGATATATAAATTGTTAACACAAGTAATCTCCAGAAAGGGAACAGGTAGTTGGAGCACAAGAGCTTTTCAAGGTACACCCTTTTCATCTTTTGAATTGTGAACCAAGTATATTTATTAAGTATTTGAACAAATGAAATTAAAATGTCACTTTAGAATACAGCATATTAAGATCCTTTTCATTTACATTTACAAGCCAAAAAGTTGACAAAAAATAGTTCTTCACTGTTGGAAAAAATAAATCCATTGCTCAGGACACTGGAAACCATATTGTTATGATTTCTCAAATGTATGCTACATTTCATAAATTAGCCCCCCAAAAGTTCTATTTGTAAAATATTTTAATATTAAAAATATTAAATTATTTATTATTTAATATTAAAATATTAAAAATTAATAAGCCACCATGATTGACAGGAGGTAACAGAAACTGCGGAAATTGTAAAGGGGGGACTACTCTAAAATTGGGGGACAGAAAAAAGCTGTTGTAGATATTGAAAGTTTCTTCAAGTTAATTTATAAGTAAAAATGCAAATATAAAGAAAGGCTCTGATAAGATAAATGTTTCCTTGAAAGGAGAATATATGGGAAATACAGCCACCAACTCAAAGGAAGTTAAGATTTTAAGATTTTCACTCTGGTTCTTAGGGTTGTGTTTTGTTTTGTTCTATTTTTAATTTTTAGATTTTTGTAAATTATTAAATAAAATATGGATTTAAGTTAACCATCTTAAGTTTGCCTTAGTGGACTAACTTTTGGAATTTCAGAACTTTGACTTCCAGAATAAACACATCTTAAATGTACAATCTTCATTTAATGGATCTGACATTAGTATAGCAAAAGTTCTAGATAATCACTATCTCAGAACCAACAAGAACATTTTGACCCCACCATTTGCTATTTGCTCTGTTAACAGTGTGGACAATTACTACATGGTACACAAATGACTAGAAGGATATGAAATAATTTAATTAATAATACATTAGACCAATCCTGGATAACAGAGCAAGTTTTCAGTATTCCCTAAAGGTAACTGCTCACAATTTTATCACAAGTTAGCAAGAATAAAATGCAAATCATCCATCTTTTACCTAATTCACAATGAATAGCACTAGCAAAACATGATAAGCAACACAAAATAAAATGGATTAATTCCTCTAACTGTATGTACAAAATTTGTTCTGGAGAAAAAGACTAAACACCTTAGGACTACAAAGAACTGCAAAGCTGGTCAGAGAAAAGTTAGACTTGGTAGAAAAATACAAAACAAAATTAACTATAGCAAAAACTGTCCTAGTTTGTTAACAACTTAAAATTAACAGGAAAAAAATGAATCTTGATAATATTTTGATCTTTATATACTGATCTAGAAAAACTGAACTTTGAAAAGTATCACAAAAGAAAGGCTATGGTAGCAGAAGTTTTAATGACAAAAGTCTAACAGAGATTAATCTGGTCAATGAATCAACTTTTTTTTTTTTTTTTTAAGATTTTATTTATTTATTTGACAGAGAGAGAGCTAGAGCAGGAACACAAGCAGGGGGAGTGGGAGAGGGAGAAGCAGGCTTCCCGGGGAGCAGGGAGCCCGACGTGGGGCTCGATCCCAGGATCCTGGGATCATGACCTGAGCTGAAGGCAGACGCTTAACAACTGAGCCACCCAGGCGCCCCGAATCAACTCTTTATATTAAAAACTTCACATGCATGAATAACCCTGAAAATAATTTCAGGAACATAAAAATACAAACTCCTTAAAACCACTATATGTAAAAACTTGAGTTGCCTACAAAACAGAAATTCTCTGGGAAAAGCATTTTCTCAATGAAAATCTATCTATATTGGTATAAATCTGATTTATTTTAAAAAATTTTTTTAGGTATAAATCTGATTTAAATATTTCTCAAACATGGGGGGGAAAACCTTTTTTGTCAAAACTCAAAACTTAAAATAACAACAGGATCAAAATATCAGTGCCAAAATATTCTGTAACCAAATGTAACTGGAATTGACTAAATTATCTTTTAAATATTTACTTTTGAAAGAATGCCTAACAGCAATCCAAATACAATGGCAGAATAAGAGTAATATTCTTCCAGTTCTCTGAAAATGGTACTAATTCTTATTTTCTCTTTTGTTCAACTTATTAACTGTTCAAATAGGGGTTCTTAAACTGTAAGAATCTCCTGAGGGACTTGTTAAAAATTCCAATTCTGGACTCTATACCCAGAAATTCTCATTTAGGTCCAGTGTGGCATCCAAGAATCTGAGTTTTTAACCTGTACCTTGAATTAATTTCTTAAGCATTTGATTTGAGAATCACACCCTGTTCTGAAGATAATAACCTCTATTCAAATACATCCTAGGGAGAAAGGGGGACAAGAAGGCAGGGAGACAGAAAGACACAAAGACTGATTACAAACCTTTATATGTTGGAGCAGGTGGTGCTGTTGCCACTTTCCTGACCTTTGCTGTCACTGAGTTATCAACATTAACAACCATTACTGGATGGTCAATATGACCCAGATTCTGACCCCGGCCATTTGTTTCTTCTGAGTGTTCCCACTGTTTCCTTATTCGCTCCTTGAGTTTTTCCAGTTTGACATCATGTTGTCGCTGCTTTAAGATATCTAACCTTTGGGAATTAGAAGTACTAGTAGAGGATGGAGAAGAGTCAGTTATCCGTAACACTTTTGGATCAACATCATGGCCCATGTTACTTACAGAAGCCTTCTCATTTCCTTTTGCTCTATTAGGATTTTCTTCCTCAGTTCTCACAGGAGCTGCCATCTTAATCAAACATTCAGAATTTTGCAATGCATCAATTGCTGGTCGATCATTTAAAAACCTAACCACTGTATCATTGATGACAGATGACTGGGAGCTCTCAAAATCACAGCAATGTATATTCTGTTCTTCTCGATTGCATATCATCCGGTTCCTGTTCTCAGGCTTTTCTTCATTAACATCCACACAATATACATGTTTTGACTCTAGATGGCTAGGACTTATATTGGAAGTTGTACCATGGATTTCCCTATTATTAAAAAATAATAAGTTTTGAATAAAGATTTCAAAAACCAAATTGAAACCAGTCGTACAAACTGAAGGGGGAACTCTAAGCTAACATTAGAGACCCCAAAAAAGTCTTGGAATTCCAGTAGGTTAAATAACAAAATAACCATTACTAATATTAAGATTCAATGCTCAATGCACCCTCTATCAAGTTAGATGGCAAATAACCTAAATCATTAATCTGCATATTATAAGAAATATGCAAAAGATATATGGAGAGATATAGGATGACAGAAAACAGGATGACAATCTGACTTTGGATATTCACTTGACATCTATTACCAAAATGTATATTTTACTTCTCTATTAAATCTTTTTGTTCCCCCTATGAAATCTTAAATACAGGAAAAAAAGTTCTCAAATTTTGTATTTGTAACTTCTAAATAATGTACCAAATGAACAAACAGATTGGAAGTAGAAGTAAAGTGGGGGTATAATAAATATTTTCCTCCAAATAAATGTAGTTAGTAAAGTTAAGTGTCTCTGAACCACAGGCCACTTTTTTTGGTATCTTCAAACAATGTAAAGCACATCTAGAAATTGTGGAGTAAGCAAAGACTAGGCATTGCCAAAGTACCTCACAAAGTCCATATTCTCTACTCATAAAAACATTAGCAGAAGTCTTCCTCCAGAGGCTATTTTTATTTTATTCTATTTATTTATTATTTTATTTATACGATCATTCTAGTAAGTTATATTTTAGGAACAGAAACAGTTTATTAAAAGGGAGGTTAATGAAGACAAGCCTCAGCAGTAAGAAGAGCACATAATTGATGAAAAATACCCAACAAAATTATAAAAGTGAACATAACAATCTGGATCTGCAATGTCTGAAAGTGTAGACATTAGCCACATGTGGCTACTGAGCACTTGAAATGTGGTTAGCCCAAATGGGAGATATGCTACAATGTAAATTACATACCAGATTCTAAAGACTTACAATGACAACAAAAAAAGAATGTAAAACATCTTCATGTGTCTAGGTATCGCACTACTAAAAAAGTTAAATTATGTGTGGCTCACGTTAACAATTCTATTATATACCACTGATCTAGATGTTTCGTGTAAAGGCATAAAACTCTAAATACCACAAAAATTCTTAAAGCCGTAATTCTGTTATAGTGTAATATAGTAATTATATCTATTGTGAGTCTATGGGTATGTACATTTTTCTAAGGAGATAGTCTACAGTTTTCATCAAATTCTCTTTGGAATCCATGACCCAAAGAACATTAGACCCTGTTCTGAATGGTTGATTATTAAACAAGATGGGGGCTGAGAACTGAATCCTGTAGCTTCCACTAGAGATCAAGACTAAATTCAGTTATTTGCACTACCTTTACCAGACCACAATAATTCATAGTTAAAATAATTTAGGTATAAAATTAGCACATATAAAGAATAAAATAAAGCATAAAAAGGTAGTTTACGTAACATGTCACAATCTTAAAAAGGGAAGGACAGTTGAGCCCACGCCACCAAAAAAAAAGTAATTTCAGTCTTTCATTAACTCATTCATTAAATATTTACTAAATACATATAAGGGTGTTTATTACACAATTCTTTCAACTTTTCTGTAAATATGAAAATTTTCATAATAAATGTTAGGAAAAAATATTTGCGGAATACTTAGTAAATGACAGGCATTAAGCTAATGTTTTGAGAATAAGATAGATTTACAGCCTTACATAAGCTATGTAATGGGTAGATATGGAATCAAAATATAATGCAACATGAAAATGCTTTAACAGAGGAAGTTATAGAGTATTATAAGAGCACACAACAAGGATTAAATAGGCTGTGGGAATGGAGTGGAATAGAAACAGATCTGGCAATGTTTCATATAAAAGGTGCTACAGTGAGTCTTAAGTGATGGAGTCAGCCAGGTGAAGGACGATCTATTCACAGCTATCCTATGGGTATTTCTTTTAATCCTAAAAGATATATAATTTACAAAATTTTAAATATCAAGTAGTATTCTTTGCAGGAAGAATACCAGAATATGGATAAAGAGTAATTTATAGTTTCAATTCCGATGATGATTATGTTTCCAGGCAAGTTGCTTAATATTTGTGTGGTTAAAGACTTCTGAACTCTGATTATTTTTCACATTTTTTCTTTCTCCTTTTACTAAACTATGAACTTTTCTCTTTTTTTTTTTTTAAAGATTTTATTTATTTATTTGACACAGAGAGAGAAAGCACAAGTAGGCAGAGAGGCAGGCAGAGAGAGAGGGAGAAGCAGGCTCTCCACTGAGCAGGGAGCCAGACATGGGGCTTGATCCCAGGACCCAGGGATCATGACCTGAGCCGAAGGCAGCCGCTTAACCGACTGAGCCACCCAGGCGCCCCTAAACTATGAACTTTTACCCAGATTAATTCCCTGACCTTTTCTCTGTATCTTCTTCACCATTTTTATCGCTTCAACACTAGTAAAAACTCCCAAATTTATATTCCCAGCCCTGACCTTTTCACACACATTCCTGCTCAAATTTTCAAATGCCTACTGAATATTTTCACCTAGATTATTTCAAAACTGTATCAAATCAAATATTGATATTATGAACTGATATGAACCCATGATCTACCTCCATCTCCCAAATTCTTTATCTCAAATTTAAGAGTACAAACATACACCCAGTAATATCTGGCACCATCATGAAACTCCTTGACTTACTGACTGACATTTTATAACACTAAAAATGTTAATAAGTGAAACAAAGAAATAAAAGGTCCAGTGTTTATTACTTATGACTATTTGCTATACTGAGAGCATTAACACATATTTTGTAACATTAGTAAAATGTTCCTCAAATATAAAATTCTATCATTTTATCTACTGAATATCCTAAATTACCAGCTAACAAAAATACGTATCATTTGATATTATCCATACTATCAAAACTCATACATCATTCCTGAACATCTGATAAAATAAGTTGCTGAAAGGAGCCACTAACAACAAAGTGAAATAAAAAACCAACTCACATTCTCAATAGGAAAGAAATTTTAGGTAACTGATTACTGCTATAAAAAAAAAAAGAAGAAACTAAGCTATAAAAAGTTCATTATGCACAACACCTAACCTGAGATATTAAGGAAAAAAATATCCATACTTCCAGAGACTGAATAATCTGTCTGCAGGAAACATACATATTACAATGGTTGTTATTCACATTTTTTCTTTCTCCTTTTACTAAACTATGAACTTTTACCCAGATTAATTCCCTGGCCTTCTCTCTGTATCTTCTTCACCATTTTTATCGCTTCAACGCTAAATACATATAAGGGTGTTTATTTAGCCTGGGCTATTACTTCTTCCCCCCAAATATTTAATCTGTAAAAGAGTGGAAAGTCAGTATTTCATAATATAAAAGATTTTTGCTTTATCCTTTTGGAAAATGAAAGAGGTAATAATACTAGAGTCAGAGTGCTATGAAAAACTCAGAAAATAAACCATAATCTTATTGTAAATATTACAGGCTAAACCTACTTGATAATTTGTTTTTGAACACTAACCTGTAAGAAACCAAAGGTTCACGAAACTCCACACGGTTATTTTTCTTTACGTTGCTCTCCAGGGTGGTAACTCTGAGAGGGCTCCGGGATTTCTCTTTCCGTGATGTGCAAGATTTGGCGGTTGGAGCATCAGCCCAAGAATCATCCCGGTATCTACCATCTGAAGAAAAAGGACATCTGTAAGAACATACGACTGCCTCTGAATTTGACTAGTATTTGTGACAATAACAGGTATCTATTATTTCTTTTTTTTTTTTTTATTCTTATTCTTTTTTATTCTTATGTTTATTATTTCTGGCTTCTCTAGTTGGATGTTATATGATAAGTAGATGAGAAACATTCAGGTTAAATTATTATAGTAACTCAATCTATAGAGAAAAAACTATTCCAAACAATGAAAAACTCTACATATAAAATTTTTTGTCAAACGCTGCCACTCACTTAAAAAAAGAATTATCAAGTAAAACCCATCAGACTCACAGGTTAAAAAAAAAAATTTAGTTTTAATGAAAAGTACTAACCTCTAGGTTTTAGCCCACTAATTAAGAAACCACAGAATTACATATATGAAAGATAATCAAAGAAAGTATTTGTATTTTGTCAATCAATGACAGTATCTATTAGATATTCCAATTATGATTTAAAATCCCCTAAAAATATGTAAAACTCATTAAGTCAACTAAATCTCAAAGTTGATAGATCTATGAATTTTAAAAAAGACACAGATAATTCCAAACACTTAAAATCAAATTCTCATCACTAAAAACCAATGAAAACTCACTGTCAAAGGTGATGTAGTGATGCTAAAGTCCCTGATCAAAAGATGGTGAAAACATGGGGCACCTGGGTGGCTCAGTCGGTTAAGCATCCGACTCTTGATTGCTGCTCAGGTCATGATCTCAGGGTTGTGAGATCAAGCCCCACAATGGGCTCCGTGGTTGAGATTCTCTCCCTCTCCCTTTGCCCCTCCCCCTGCTCGCTCTTGCTCTCTAAAATAAATAAATTTTAAAATCTTAAAAAAAAAAAAAAAGATGGTGAAAACATCATCTACAGTCACTGAACATGAGGCAGCTTCATAACTACTCAGTACCAAAGACAAAAAAAATTAAATGTTGATGAGGTATCATCTCTGACAAAAGAGCTAGCAAATATAAGGGACTATAAAGAGAAATTAAACTGAAACAAAACTAATATCAAAATTTATATTTAATATATTTGTATCTTTGGAAGTAACTTTATACATACCTTTTCTACTTATTTTTCGGGTAGCACTTGCAGAAGATTTCTTGGTATCCATGACAGAATCAAACACAGCTGTACTTGTAGGGGCTACTTCTAATTTGTTTTCAATGTGTCTCAGCTAAAGTTTAAACACCATCACAACAAATAGGTTAATTCTGTAAATAAACCAGCTACCATTGATTTACATAGTTAATTTTTTATTTTTTACTTTTTTTTTTTTTTTAAACGAAAGCTCTATGCCCAGTGTGGGGCTTGAACTCATGAGCTTGAGATCAAGAATTACATGTTCTCCTGACTGGGCCAGCCAGGCGCCCCAATTTACAAAGTTATTTAAATTATATTGTCCAATACCTTTCTCCAAAGTCAAAACAACTCAGGAATTTTTTCAATATTTTTTTTCAATATTCGTTTTTTCATTACTTATTACTTCACCTATAGTAAGAAGTGGTACAATGCTGCCCAAATTTGGACAAGAAAATCAAAAAGATTCTGAAGAATATCAAAAAGTTTCTATTTGTCTTCTTGACCTATTTTTTTTTATTGTTGAGTTTTTTTTAAGCAAGCAGTACATTTTCTAACATTGTATGTCACATATCATTATGCTATATATCCTGTGCATTTTACATGCAAAAATTAGGAAAGAACAATTCAGATGGACTAAAATTTAGAACTGTTCTGGGGCGCCTGGGTGGCTCAGTCGTTGGGCGTCTGCCTTCGGCTCAGGTCATGATTCCAGGGTCCTGGGATCGAGCCCCGCATCGGGCTCCCTGCTCGGCCGGGAGCCTGCTTCTCCCTCTCCCACTCCCCCTGCTTGTGTTCCCCTCTCTCACTGTGTCTCTCTCTGTCAAATAAATAAAATCTTAAAAAATAAAAATAAAAATAAAATAAAATTTAGAACTGTTCAAACAACTACAACTTTTTAATAGTCTTATGTCTATAAAATAAGTTTCACAATAAAGATAAAATTCACAAGATAGAAAACTCAGGTTTCCATACACTTTACAATATAAGTCAACTTCTGGTAAAACCACCAATGTTCTTAATTATTTAATAAAGCATTTTCTCCTAATTATATGCTTACAAGAGAAAACCTGGAAAACACAGAAAAGGTATAAAAAGCGAAATTAAAATCATCAAAATTCCACCACATAGAGATAAACACTTTATGTAAAATCCTGATTTATCTTCTCTCAAATTTTTGTGGTACAATGTACTCACAAAATTGGAATAAATCTTCATAATCTGTATCAGGCTTTTTCTCCCATTTATAGTATAAGCCCCTTATCAGCCTTAAAAATAATTTCTAAAAACACAATAGTTTTGAAAAATGACTATTAACAGTTCAGCTCTAAATTAGGTTAACTCTAAATTAAACTGGAAATAAAAACTATTCCTACATTGTAGATATATAATGCTCATGTGTAATGTTGTATTTGACCCTACATTATGACCAAATCTAGGTTATAGTACCTTTTCCAGATGCATTTTCATACCAGTTCAAAAGATTAGGGGACAGAAAATACCATATTCACACAGTAAAGAAACAGGTGACTCAAATTCAGGTAGGATACAAAAGAAAACAAGAAAGGACATATTAGGAGAGTAATTTTCCTGGAGAGCAAATGAAAAAGAAAAGAAAAAGCAAAGAATCTCCCTTCAAAGGGACTATGCATCAGTTGGCAAATTTGGATTCCTAAACTCCTGACAAGACTGGACAGAATACAAATGAAAACAGGTTGCCCATAGTTATTCTTCAGCAGTACTGAGAGAAAGCAGTCTGCCATTGCCACAAAAGAGGTAATACCTAGTCCATTAAAGAAACTGTTCCTTTCCTTTCCTCTCTGACTCTGGGCCTTCTACACAGACAAAGCCCCACATTCCCAAATCATTTTTGTTTTAAATCTTCATTTCAATATACCAAATGAACAAATTTATTAAAGGAGAATAAACAGCACAAATTATTTTAGTATTTTATATGCCATAGTGTTAATGTTCCTGATACCTAAAGTAGTGTCTTGATTATCCTTTTACTATTTAATAGTCATTATTAATGTTCATTTTGTAATATATGGTACTTCACTTCTTACCAAAATCTTTATTTTCCTATGAAAAAAGTACTATAGAAAAAAATTTAATCTATTCAATCATAACAGGAAACTAATTTTAAACCAGAAAGAAATAAATGGAAGCTCTAACTACTTACAGCAGCCTTAGTCTGAGAAAGTGCATCCCACGATGTGGTTATATCTGCTGGGGAACATTGATATTTACTGAATCAGAATCTCTAAAGTAGTCCTCAAAATCTGCATTTTAATAAGCTCCTAAATGCACTCAAAAGTGTGAGAACCATTTTATTAGGCAGAACTATTTCTCAGCAAATGCTTTATCATATTGAACCAAAACATGGTTCTTTTCCCATTCTATAAAGCCAAGCTTCCTAGTACACAGTTTAGAATTGTATTAGACACTGATCCTATTAGTTCTTAGGACAACACCCCCACTCATAGCCCCATCAGACATCAACAATAAGCAATATCCTCGATTTATCTCAGTGACCTAAACAAAAAATTTTGTATTGTAGTGTATTTCACAATTATGATGTTGAAAAGATTAGAAAATTACTCCACACCTCAATCTACCAGTAGAAACAAAGGTAAAATCTAGTCTTTCAGATAACAGCCCTTCAAATGGTACAAGGCCACCTAGTTCCCTTAAATCATCCTTCCCTCCAAATGTTCCTCATGTGACATGATTTCCAGGATCCCTCATAAACCCGATAATCTTCCTCCAGATATACTCTAGTTTTTCAATGCACGTCAAAATATATCATGTCCTAATTAAAGTAACCCCCAATGCATCATTTAAAAAAAAAAAAGTTCAATGAGACTTTGCCTTTTCTTATCTGTGCACGATAGGTCTAAAACTGTATTAGGAGCTATATTATATCATTTATTGACATTAATCAGAATTTCCAAGAAACTCTGTAAAACCAATTTTACATATACTGATTCTTTTTTGTTTTCCTTTATGAAACGGTTTGCCATAGGACACCTTTGAAGGTGAGGTACCTTGCATATTTAAAACAAACTGAACTTCAAAAATTATCCATTTTTTATAAATCAAAGTATATGTATAATTTTCATTTATTGATTAGTCCAGGATTTTATACACATGACCTAAACAAGGCAGGCACTAAGTTCTAAAGTTTAAAAAAAAACAAATCATACCTTGAACAGTATCCTTGCTTTGAGAGTTCCTTGGATTTGGTAAAGGCACCTCTTTTGATTTGCTGCTCCTCATCCTGCCAAATTACCTACAATCACATCATCACCATTCATTAAACATCAATATTATAATATTAGTAAAGAAAATACTTTTATCTTAACTTTCATGAAAGTCAGAAAAGGATTTTGTCAACTCTAAAAGTTACCTTTATGCCCTCTTTAGAGTCCCTTATAATCCAGTAACTTTATTTTTCCTTGGAAAAATTAAAAAGTCTATCATGACCACCTCACACCAACTAGGATGCCTATTATCAAAAACAAAGAAACAAAACAACAACAGAAAATAACAAGTGTTGATGTGGTGAAACTGGAACTCTTGTGCACTGTTGGTGGGAATGTAAAATGATACAGCCTCTATGGAAAGCAGTATGGCAGTTCCTCAAAAAATTAAAAATAGAATTAACCATATGATCCAGCACAAAAGAACTGAAAACAGGGTCTCAAAGAGACATTTGTACACGCATGTTCGTAGCAGCATTGTTCACAATAGTCAAAAAATGAAAGCAACGAAAATGTCCATCAACATATGAAAAGGTAAGTAAAACGTGGTATATACATACAATGGAATATTATTCAGCATTAAGAGGGAAATTTTGCCATTTTCTATAATACAGATGAACTTTGAGGACATCAACTAAGAGAAATAAGCCAGTTACGAAGGTGAATACTGTATGATTCCACTTATGTAAGGTACCTAGAGTAGTTAAAATCATAGGGACAGAAAAGTAAATAGTGGTTGCCAAGAGCTGAGGAAGGGAGGATTGGGGAGCTACTGTTTAATGGGTATAGAATTTCAGTTTTACAAGATGGAAAGTGATGCAAGATGGATAGTGATGACGCTTGCACAATGCTATAAATGTATTTAATACCACTAAATTATACACTGAAAATGGTTAAGGTGGTACATTTTATATTGTGTATTTTATCATAACAAAAAATGAAAGAAAAAATTATATCATGACTCAAAGAGAAAGATCATGATCTGCTTATGCTGACTAGACAGCTTGATAATAGTCATATTTTCCTATGAATATAGAATTATTCTGTTATAAAACTCACAAAACACTGAAAGTTTGGAAAATACAGGAGGGGAAAACTCATTCCTATTCCCCAAATCTTAATACGATCATTAAGCTATTTTGGATAGTCCCTTCTATTCTTTCTAATTTTCCCATTTTTACTCTAATTTGTGTAAAAAGTAAACAATTTTTATTTTTGTGTCCCACTTAACTGCTGGATGTTTGTGGTAGTTTTTAAATATATTCACAAATTCTCTGATACTCCTTTCTTCAAGAAGTAGAGGTTAATTTTCTTCCATTAAATGTAGACTGGACTTAAGGATATACTTTTAACAAATCAAATGTGGTGGAAGTGACAATATGTGACTTTTAAGTCTAGGTCACAAAAGGCATTGCTTGTTCTCTGTGGAGTTACATAGCAATAGATTACCAGTACAATATTATGCCTCATTTTCTCTATTACAAGTAACACTGAAATGAACATATTTGTGTATCTGTGAATTTTTGCTTATTTGGATTTATGTAGAAGAGGATCTACAAAGTGTAATATTAAAACTGAACTAAAGAATGTGAAGAACATGCTGCTCTTGAGATCCAATGTTAAACTGTTTTCCAATTTATAATTTACAACTGTTTTTATTTACAATGAGCCTACTAGTTTCATTAACATCTTTTAATATTCAGCATCATATCTATTCTATTTACTTGCTGATTTAATAGGAAGAAAATGGTTGTTTTAATTTGAATTCAACAGATTGCTAGCAGGACTAAACATTCTACCATAGATCTTAATCTTAGTTCTTCATGTGTGAATTATCTTTTCATATCCTTTGCTCATCTACCTACCAGGATCATCATGTTTTTCTTATCAATTTGATGAGTTCTTTACATTATGAATATATGACCTTTGTCATGTGTGATAAAAATAATTTTCTTCAACCACCATTTGCAAAGGCAGTTCAGTATATTGTATATTAAAGAACCCAATTTAAATCTAAGGAAAAGAGGGGGCATCTGGATGGCTCAGTCGGTTAAGCCACCGACTCTTGTTTTTGGCTGGGGTCATGATCTCAGGATCATGGGATCAAGCCCCATGTCAGGGTACGCACTCAGCACGGAGTCTGCTTGAGATTCTCTCTCTCCCTCTCCCTCTGCTCCCCCTCGTGCTTGTGCTTTCTCTCTTTCTCTGTCTAAAATAAATAAAATCTTAAAAAATATATAAATTTAAAGAAAAAACCTACCTACTAAAATACAAACACATAAAACTGAAGGCATAATTAATTTTTAGGAGAGTTAATTTCATCCACAGTAAATAATCCTCATTTTAAAATTTCTTTTAATTTGTTATAAATTATATAACATGTCTCTAAGAAATGTCAATCTGTTTTTAAAAAGTCAGATAGGAATGATAGAAAAACTAAAATCAACACATATGCCAATAGTTCAAAAATTTCCCAACCATAAAAACTTCCATCAGTAATGCCAACATAGCTCAAAAAATCAACTCATTTTACTTTCCTTCTCATAAAAATGCTTTTGGCCTAGCCAACTATCAAAATGATACCAACATGAGTTATTCTGTATCACTAAATAATTTATCAACGATTTGACAAAAGTTTTTTTTGAGCAGACCTCTCTTTGCTTTAAAACTAAATGCTAAAATATATATTCTCAATTTTCCAATGAGAAGGAGAAACAGACTAAATAATAAAAACTGCATATATCTCCATAATCTCTATGTTCAGGGGCCAGCACTGATAAGGCTGAGACAAAGTACACGAGTAAAAAGAAATGCATTTATATCTACTTCAAAATAAAAACTTTAATATTAATCGTCAAATGCAAGTGACTCAGTATCAGGAGTGTGACATTTATGTAAAATTTCATCTTATAAATTATAGTATATTCACCATTTAACAATGAGAACGAACTAATTACAACTACATGCTACAAACATGTTAAGTGAAGAATGCCAGAAACAAGTGTACATGCTGTATAATTCCATTTTATAAAGTATCAAACAGGCAAAAGTATCTTTGGTATTAGAAGTGAGAATAGTGGTTACATACAGTTTGGGCAGGAGGGTGGTGACTGGAATTGGAGCAAGGAAGGGTTTTTGAGGTACTGATAATATTGTTTATTCATATGGGTGCTGATTACATGAGTGTGTTCAGTGTATGAGACTTCCATCAAGCTGTACACTTACATGCTGTTTCAATGTACATTATACATCAATTAAAAGTATTTTCTGATAACATGCCTGGTTTAGGTTTATAATTACAGATTTAATTCAGTTCTATAGTATGTCTAGTCTCATGAATGTCAGTTTTTCAATATTTTACTTTTCAAAATCCCAGGTTATCCCATACCTAATAAGTATTATTAATAGAATCTATTAATCTAGGGTTCTTTAATATACAACGTACTGAACTGCCTTTGCAAACAGTGGTTGAAGAAAATTATTTTTATCACACGTGACAAAGGTCATATATTCATAATGTAAAGAACTCATCAAATTGATAAGAAAAACATGATGAACCTAGTAGGTAGATGAGCAAAGGACATGAAAAGATAATTCACACATGAAGAATAGAATAGAATAGAATCTAATTCTATTATAAATAGAATCTATTTAAGTAGAACAGTTCTTTATGTAAGAATATATGTAAATATCACCATTTTCTATAAAAATAGAAAAATTGAGGAAAAAGTACACTGAAAAAATCTCCTCATAGAAAGAAGAGAATCTAATCTGTCAAAACTTTTACTATCTTTAAAGTATAAATCTCAATCTGTAAAATGCCTTTTCTAACCACTTTAAGATGACTAAGTCAAATAGATTAAACTTAATTCAAGATCATTTATTAGGAAATAATGAAACTACCTTCCCAGTTAAATGTTTTATAGGCAACATGACTTTATTCTATAGCCATATGGGACTTTTGGAATTACTGAACATTTGTGCATTCTTTTTTGCCTACTTAATCTGTCAAGAATTAAGAAAGGCAGACAAAAAAACTACCATAACTACTTTTTGTCTCCTTCTCTTATTTCTATAAATTAATGTTTATATAGCTTGACAGGATTATTTAGTACATAAAGGTTCATGGTTGTTATATTGTCATGTGGGTTTTATATTTCTTCAATAAAAAATAACCATCATTGTCCATAGAGAACTATGTTTTAGTATTCAGTTCTATTCTGTATGCTATTAATAAAAGCAAGTATTGCTTTATTCTATTATACCTGCCCTATCCTTTCAATTCTAAGCTTTCTGGGACACTATTTTAGATGCATCCTGTATAGAGAAAATATAACTTTTTTTTTAAAGATTTTATTTATTTTTTTTATTGATTTTATTTATTTGACAGAGAAACACACAGAGAGGGAACACAAGCAGGAGCAGAGGGAGAGGGCGAAGCAGGCTTCCTGCTGAGCAGGGAGCCCGATGTGGGACTCAATCCCAGGACCCTGGGATCAGGACCTGAGCCAAAGGCAGACGCTTAACAACTGAGCCACCCAGGAGCCCCATAGTTAGAACTTTTTAATCCAATGTAATAATCTTTGTTAAGACTAAGAACAGGGAGGGGAGCCTAATTCTACTGGTGGAGACCTGTTAAAGCTTTTTGGGAGTAAATCCTTAAAGACACCATATTAATTAGGACATGCCTACTATATGTTTGGTATGAAAGAGAAAGAAGGGACAGAGACTATTATGCATCAGGAGCCCTAATGGCATCAGCATACCATGTTCATAAAAGTTAAGTATTCTGTTATCTAGTAATAGATTTGTCACAACCCTTCACTTCTACAATGGCAGATAGCCATGGTTTTCTTATGTTTCTAAGAGTTAGACTAGATCATCTCATTAAGCTGACATTTTTAAAAGTTATTTTATGAATTGTATTAGTTTAGCTAAAAACCATAATGTCAATAACTATGATTTCAGGAAAGGGTTAACAAATTTGCAAGAGCCTGTCAGACTGCTTTATTTTCT